CATTAGGGTGTTGCTGTTTCGGGAATGTGACACAAGAGGGCGGAAATTACTATATGATTCCAAGACAGTGGTCCGGATCCCCATACCTGACTGCTCACCAGCTGTGCCATCATGCAAGACACTCTTCAAGAATACATTTTCAACTGGCTCCTCTCAGTCAGCAGGAAATACATCGGCTGGATCAGCGACTCACCTTACACCCAACAAGGGGTCAGCATGTAATGTTAAGTCGTCTGCGACCTCCCCCAGCTCCAAGTCTGAGTCATATGCAGAAATAAGCAATGGCTATGGATATCAGGTATGAAGCTACATTTATATGAAGCATTTTTTCATTCATACCTATTTGTTTCTTTATATATTCATTGTATTATATTAAACAGTAAGAGGGCTTTGGTTGTACAATATTATGAAGGCTCTTTTTCATGTTTCATTTTCCATGGTGTTTTGCTGCCTTATGTTAACCTTCTATCATTTTACAACTTTCAACTATGTAGACTGGTATTACTTTATAAATTTCAGCTGTAGAATTTAATTTAATTGTAAATAAATTTGGAATCTTTGTTTGCTGTTTGTTCTAGTGATCATAATATTTGAAGGCATTTTCAAACAGATGGTTTGATAATTACTCTTAAATCTATGAATTACAAATAAGCAAACTTTTCATTTTGAAATAAACTAATTAGAAGTTCTTGATGATTTTTAAATATTTTTATATACATTGTCAAAATGTAATCTTGAGCTACTATTTCTATTAATGATTTTTTTTATTTGTTTCACAGTACCAGAAACAAGAGAGTGACACAAAGCTTCTAGGGGAACTGGTTTTTGGTACTGTAGCTTTGGCATACCGAGGCTCATGTTCTAAGCTGCACTTGATGCAGAGTCCTCAGCGCATCCTCTTGTCACGCACATCACCTGCACCACGCTCTAACTTAAAGCATTCATGTACAAGCAGGTAAATTTTTTGTTAATATACTGTCTCAAAGTGATAGACATCATATTTGGGGCATTTGGCTGGTACAGTAAAATAAATGCCAATACAAATACTATCAAACAAGAATGAGAGAAACATTTGGTATGCAGACATGTCAGAGTTGTAAATCTTAAGTTTAAATGTTTCTTAAAAGTCCAGAAATAACAACTCATACTGTTCCTTTATCTTGTTTCTTCATCAGCGACCAAGGGATAGAAGATTCATCATTTAGTAGCTCAATTAGCTCAGTAAGTGAAACAGCAATCTCTAGAACTGAGAGCTTGGACATGCCCTGGGGGATAGCTGGAGGTGGTCCTGCATGGGCCACAGACACTTCACACATCCTAAGCACCTCTAATAGTGAAGGGGACTCTGGCTTTGGGGGACCTCCTTCTCCCTACTCCTCTGTTTGTGGGTCCTTCCTCTCTCCAACATCCATACCAAACACTCCACAGGGAACACCGTCATCTAGGCAAGGTAAGCTGATCAGATTAAAGTTGATGCTGGAATGAGGGACAAATACATTAGTATAAGAAGGAGAGGAGGAAACAAAGATTATATTCATTCATGAATAGTGGTAAAAGTGTAAATGTATTAATTGCTGATGTAATACGCTGATAATTTTCATGTTTACTAAGACTTGAATGAGATGCTGATAAAAATCAGCACCTTTTTCAATATTTTTTTCATTTCCTTTTTTCATAAAGTTTATTGGCAATCTGTATTTCTTTTCCTATATCTCTAAGGGCTAGGCAAAAATATATTGTTGAACTTTTTATTAAGTGACATTGGGAATTGCCTTTTTCTTTTCAAAATTAATATTGATGATTACATGTTTATGAGTTATATGTCTACTTCCAGGTTCAGGGAATAGCCTTAAGCACTCAGGAAGCCTCAACAATTTACAACGTAGATTTTTAAGAAATGTGAACACTTCCTTAGAAGCTCTGGGACGAGATGGAGAAGGTGGAGATGATGTAGGAACATCCTCCCAACACCCACACAGGTTGACACGTCTGGGTCTTGCTGTGATGATAGAAGTTGGAGGCCATGCAGATTGGCAGAGGTAACTAAACTTATATTTATGCAACATTGTGTATTAACAAAAGGGGGCAAAAATAAGCAGTATGAAAAACATGATTGTGTTACTTAAGTAGATGTGTTACCTGTGAATGCTTTTTTAACTCAATGCCACTGGAAAAATACCGTGCTCATTTTAATTTTTTGTGTGAAATGTCTCTGCATATAGATGGTGCTGCTGCCACAAAGGAGTCAATTTCACCTTTTTTTGAATTGGTGGGAAAAATGTTTTTTTTTTTTTTTTTTTTTTTTTACTGATGCTATGAATATCGATGGTGTTATTTTTATTATAGACCTTATAATTTCTATAATGTTATTGACATTAGTAACAGCAGTATAAGATAACAAAATATTCTTGAAAATCAAGGAAAAGGGTAAACAGGCGAGGTAGGCATTACTTGTAATTGGCTCATTGTAGACTTTGTACAGGTGTAGCCATCTATGTGTAAAAACAATTAATAAAGTAAACTCACAGTGGGCATATCATGTACGTAGTTGGCTTGCCCATCGGATTTGGGAATAAAGTAAACTCACAGTGAGCATTGCATGCACATACTTACCATGCCCATCGGATTTGGATTATTAGGTACTTTACATGTACTTAATTGCTCATAGCCACTGTACTTTCATTTTTTTTATATTTGTTCACATGCAGATGACTTCATAAGCACTTAGGCACCAAAGAGTCAGTTACCTCTTTACCCCATTCCTGTAATTTTAGTTCAGACAGTTTTTATATCCACAACTATAATCATTATTGATATTATTATTTTTGTTATTATTATTATTGTTATTGTTATTGTTATTGTTCTTTTTTATTACTATTATTAAGATCATTATGATTATCATTTACCTTATTTGCATTACTATATATGTTATTAAAACAATATTCTAAACAATACTGATATCAGAAAAAAAGACAAAATTTGGTGACTAAGCATTTTTGGATCCATTTATTTTAATACAAGATCAATGATATATAATAACATTGGACAGGGCAAGTATACACTGATGTTCAGCAATACATAGAATTGTTAAAGTCAATACTGATACTGTGATTTTATTTTTTATTATTATTATTATTTTATTTATTCTTATTTATTTATTATTATTATTGTTTTTTTTCATACATCTTGATAAAAACACCCTAGCAATTCTGATAAAACAATATATAACAATATTGTTATATTGTTTAACTCAATGCCAGGCAATACTGATACCAATACAAAAGAATTGATATGAATTGCTGATACATGTATCTCTGAGTATACATACCCTCCTGGAGTAAACAGGTCAATGTTTAATATATATTTTCCATATGATGCTGAATATTTTGAATTCTCAAAGAACTTGAATTATGTTTTTAACAGGCAGGTGGAGGAATGGATTTTTGCTCATCTTGGTGTTATTGAAGCATCTGTGAATAGATTGCAGTCTTCCCTTGATTTAGCATACATGCATCGTCGCACTTTTGTTTCTGCAACACACCAAGCTGTAATGCAACTTGAACAGGTTTGTTTGTTATTTGATTTACAGATGTTTCTATTTGATATGTAACTATTTTGATGATAATTTCCATTTTTGCTTACAAATCTATTTTCATATATATGTACACATGTACACAAAGATATTCATACACACAGAAACATTCACACACACACAAAAAAAATTCATACACACATGTACAGGCACATGGACACACTTACACAGGCATGCATGCACACACACACTCACACACACACACACACACACACACACACACACACACACACACACACACACACACACACACACACACACACACACACACACACACACACACACACTCACACACACTCACACACACACACACACACACACACACACACACACACACACACACACACACACACACACACACACACATACACACTCACTCACACTCATACACACATACGCACACACACACACACACACACACACACACACACACACACACACACACACACACACACACACACACACACACACACACACACACACACACACACACACACACACACACACCACACACACACACACACACACACACACACACACACACACACACACACACACACACACTCTCACACACACACACACACCTCACACACACACACACACACACACACACACACACACACACACACACACACACACACACACACACCCAAGAACACACACACACACTCACCACCAAGAACACACACACACACTCACACAACACACACACACACACACACACACACACACACACACACACACACACACACACACACACACACACACACACTCACACACACACACTCACACACACACACACACTCACACACACACACTCTCACACACACACACACACACACACACACTCTCACACACACACACACACACACACACACACACACACACACACACACACACACACACACACACACACACACACACACACACATACACCAATAACAGTACACTTATACTAGCATACATGATTTCAGATTTTCTTTTGGGAGTATGTCATAGTTATTTTTTTTTTTGCTTCATAGGACTTATTGGACCTGGTTAGTGCCCCAAGGTTACCAAGGCCAGTGTGGTTGGGACTTCTGGGCAAACCATCCCACAATGACCGCCAATTACTGTGCACAAGCTTTGTGAACACCCTCTCTTCTGCGCTCATGACTTTCGATACAAAACAGACAAACTTGTAAGTGTTTTTGTTTTTGTGGCAATGTTAATAAAATTCAGTACTGGTTACTGAAAAATGTATTGGATATTTTTGCAGCCTTATGTTAAAATTATGCTAAAAGATGGTAACATTAAAGGTCTTATATATATGAGAAAGGCAGCTTTACAATATTTGCTGACTGAATTATTTATTAAAGTGTATCATACATCTGAGTTTATAAGTAATTATCTGCATAATTTCAGCTTTTTGAGCAAATTGCTAACAGCAGTATTAACCCACCACCTGGGTTGGGTGTCAACAGTGGCCCCAGGGGATCATCCTGTCAATACTTCATCCCAGGTGCCACAGGTGTCTGCTGAACATGCATCTTTGGTATGTGGAACATGCTTCCTGCTGTGTTTTAATGGAGAATCACACATTGAATATATCAGAATCTACCATAAGACTGATTCTTATGATAATATCCTGCTGGTATGTATTGTGGAATTGACAAAGGTTGTCCACAGGTTGAACGTCTGAGTGAGTCACATCCATATAATGCTGTATGGGCACAGCTGTGTGAGCTGAGTGGGGCAGTAGGTTATCCTCCTCGAGCTGCTCGTACTCTCTTAGTAGGCTCAAATGCTTCCCTTCTGTCTCAGCTGCTCACTATCCTCTCTTACATTATCAGGTGCTCTCAGGTGGGTTACAAGTTCTTCATGCATATTTGTATTATTTAGGGTATGCATTCAGGAATTATATTTTTTCTTGATCTCGTATATCAATAGAGTGTGATTTTATTGTTTCATATTTTACATTGAAAATTATATATCAGCTAGTCCTCTATATTATAGACATTGAATAAAAATGTATAGTGTATGCATTTTTCATGCTATATGTAAATCATGAACTATTTTCTTCTATAGGTTGTTGAACAAGATATCCAGCCTTTCCAAGAAGGAGAGACACAACAGCCTACATTCTCTCGTACTTCTTCTGTGGCATCAGTTGTTACCATTGTAGATGGTCGAAGAGATTCACAAAGGGATCTGTCACAAGGAAGACAAAGCTCATCGGCCACACTGCAGCGTGACCCCAGCATTCGTCGGAGCTGGAGGATGACCCGCGATGGTCGTAGTAACAAGCTTCATTCCACAGAACTTAGGGGAGGGAGTGGAGAGTTGCCTGCAGACTGGGGGCCTGGACATGTAGGCTACTCTGGAGGTGATGAACCAAAGCCAATAACCAGCAATGATTCAGATTCTTCCATTCAACATCACAATAGACGGGATGCTGATCAGACTTCCAAGTGGATGCTCAATGATGATGTGGAAATTGTCATAGGTGAAACGAAAGGAGATTCATCCAACAAAGCAAGTAGTAGTGCAGTAAAAGAGCACATACATAGTAAAGAAACAGTAACATGGAAACCAGATACTGATATTTTGAGAACGTCAAATGATAGTGTTAGAACTTTATCTACATGCAAAACATCAACTAATCTTGCAGCACTTGGAACATCATCTGGAAATGATTATAGCCCAAGTAAAACAAGTACTTCAAGCTTAACAAGCTTTCTCTCAAGATCAGCAAGAGAACCTTCTACAGACCGATTGTACCCTAGTCTTCAGGAACTAGATGACCACAGGGAAACATTTGGCCCAGAAAGCATACAACCAGATGTCATTGCTGAAAAAGTAAAAAAATTATTTCATGCATCATCAATAGTGAATACAGAACCATACAAAGATAGACCTGTGACACATACAATATCATGCTGTAGTTTACCTCAAGAATGTAACAGGAGAGACATTCCCACTGATGAGTTACAGAGTGAAGTTAATATAACGACATTACCTCGCATGAAAAGATCACCCATTCGTAGTGTTAGTCATAGTGCACAAAAAGAAAAGGCTCTAGACTGCTCAGAAAACAGAACAAATAGCCTTTCAAATTATGTTAATAAGGTAGAAAATGCAGAAAGAACTTCAAGGGCTGAGATTACAGTGCCAGCAAGAGATATTCAGCCTGAAGTGGAAGAAGGAGGAAAAGTTTTGTTTTTGTTGGGTGAAAATGAAAGATTAGAAGGCTTGAAAAGTAAAAGTAAATTTGGTGAGAACAACAGCTCAGAACCTGAAAGTACTTGGACAAACATGAAAGAAAGTACTAATGCAGCAGCAATAGGGTTTGAGGGATTCACACAAGGTGCCAAAAGTTCTACTGATAATATTTCAGTGACAAAATCAGAAGTGCAGGTGATTGGTCGATTACCCTCTCCTGTAGATTCCAGAAAAGTAGTGAAAATCCGACATGTTGGACGTGCCTCTGCTCGTGACCTTCCAAGCTTAGAGAGAGAACAAGTGTCCTATCCTCACTATTCTTCATTAAATAGAGACTTACAAATTTGTGTTAATTCTGTGAGTGGGAAATGTACTACTACTACTAGTGAAAAGGCACAAACTGCCAAACACCATCGCCGACACAGTGATCCAACTAATGGTACCTTTATTTCCAAGACACCTCTCTATCCAAACATAGAACTGTTGAAAGATGTTGTGGAGGAGCAGGTAACAGAAAGTAAAGACCCTTCTAGTTTCAAAAAGGATACTGAAAGAAAAGATGATTCATCAATGAGGGAAACCCCAGTCTGCGTATCATCATCAACAGAAGAGTTTGATGAATGGACGAGCAAGCAACTTGCCAGCACTGATAAAACACCAGAGGCTGTCCAAGATGCTAATCAAGAAAATAATGAAAATAGTAGTGAACAGCCAATTGTTATCCAGATACCAAGGTACATACTTTATATACAGTATATATTCATTCTTTTTTTTTCATGCTTTTTCTTTTTTTCTGTGTACTCATTTCTAAAATGCATATTGTTTACTGTTCTTGGTTAGTTTAGCTTTTTGCAGCTTTTTCTTTTACTTTCTCCATGTCTCTTTCAATTGGTTTACATTTTATTGGTAACCAAAACAAATATTCATATAAAATAATTATGGTATTATGGTACAAGATTTGATTTTATTGTTTACCTTATAATTACTGTTGTTAAAGTGCTAGTGTACTAGACTTCTTTGCTGTGATTTGTTATGAGTTTGTGGGCTTAATACAGGAAACAAATTAAGTATTGCATGATTAAGTATATAAATACAAAGTGTTCATTATATATTTTTTATCTTGCTGACATGTCACTCATTAAGTTTAGCTAGTGATGATTATGCCTCTAATTGATTTATTATATCTTTTTACAAGTAGTTTTATTCTTGTAAGTCAGTATTATTTTACACATAGTTAGGAAAAACAGCTAAATGAAATCTGTAGGTTGCGAATCCTAGAAACCTGTATGTTTTGCTATTTATGAATTTCAGTTACCATCAGTAGGTTTCAGGATGTTGAAGTCATATATATTTATTTCTTTATGTTCTTTTCATTTGGTAGGTGTGCCTGCGCAACTCGTCGAAGTTCAGCAAGTGTGAACACGACAGGCAGCCAAATTGCTGAGTCACTACTAGGTGGAGTTCTTGATCATTATTCCTCGGTTTTTGTACTTCATGCCACCACACAGTCAAGCCAGTGGGAGGATGCTCTCCGGCAAGATCTTTCTTCTGCGGCCCACAATTCCACACTTGATCCTCAGGTGTCTGAAGCAGTAGCAGTTGTAGCAGATATTGATAATTGGTATGTTGATAGAATTTCAGTCTTATAATGAATAACAAATTTCTAAATAAAGTCTTGACTAAAAATGTAAGATGTTTGCACTGTTTTCTTCTAATTGTAATTTTACTTTTTATCCCACAGGGAAGTACAAGTAGTTTCATCACATTCATACGTTGTTGAACGAAGTGGAATTGGCAGCCAGGTGGGACTACGGGTTGGAATGTCACCCTTGGTGTCAGCGATTACTGATTCCATTTTGGACCTCACAAAGATGGGAGTTGAACCACAGTTTGTGAGTACCACTATAAGTGATAGTTTTGTGAAGAACTTTTAAGTATAAGGAATTGTTGGTAACTTGGAGAAAGTTGCTGCTGTTGCTAAATGTATACATAAGAATATTTTTTGCCAAATGTTTGTTATATTAAGCAAAAAAAAAGAAAAGGAAAAGAAAGAAAAGAATAATAATGATGAAAAATATTAAAATGTTAAAAAAGTAACTTATAAATTTGTAATTGTGTTTAAAATTATTCTTGCATTTTATTTCAGATTATGCAGCACTTAGAAGAAAGACTGTGTGAGCTGTATCTAAAATCGCAATTACTAGCAGAGTATTTGCTAGGAGGGGCTGCTTGCTCTTTGAGAGGATCAGAAGCCACTTTCAGTCCTTTCAATCTACCTGAACTGACCAAAGCTTTAGGCTTAGACCTAAATGACCTGCCATTGTTATTGGCTGTTGCTTCTACACATACTCCAGCTCTGACCAAAATGTTTGGCCTTAGTATCAAATGATGAAAATGAACACTTCTGATTACAGTTTTCCATAATTGTACATTGGTCATATTTTCTAAAAGTTTATATTGATGGCAGTACTGTTTTTTTATAGTTTTATATGTATTTTGTGATTTGTAAATTGTAGAAATGGCTTCTTTATTAATTGATGATGTTAGTGTATGCAATATCTATTCTAATTTGTAATAAAAAATGGGAATTCATTAACAGCTGTAGCTTTTTCTGCAATAGGATCCTGTGTGGGATCTATAAAATGACCAAATGTACTTCAGAGAAAAATAAAAATGGCTCTTATGGATTGTACTTTAGAGTAACATAAAGTAACATATGCATAGATCATAAATCAGAACTGTGTTTAGGTCGGCAAGGCTCAGGGATAAGCAAATGTAGAAGTGTGAAGTGTTTTCATTTAAGTAAAACATTGGTATATTGGTAAATGCTCCGTTAGAGCTGTATCCTAAATTCATTTAGCTGAGCTGTGATACAGGCTGTGATTTTGCCAAACCTGTTAAGATTATATTAGTATGTTAAACACCTTGATTTATATAAAAGTAGGTATTTAAGAAAAAATCATTTTAATTTATTGACATGGCTGTAGTGGTTGAAAGTAATGTGTACTTACATATCCATCATAGCGCTACCACAGAAAATGCACATAATGAAAACAGTATGTCTTGCTCCTCAAAACTTTTTGGTGTTTTTATTTGCAAAAGGACTGAGATTGCTGTATATGGATATTTTTATTTAAGTTATTTATTGTACATGCCATTGTATATGCATTGTTTTGTAAATGTATTTTAAAATAAAATACCAAAAAA